GTTTGGGGGCGGTGACACCCATTTGGGGGGGGGGCACGCGATTTGGTGGCTGATCGGCGCTAGTGACACCCCTGTGGGGACGGGGGGGCATTTTGAGGGTCCCTGGGGCAAGGGGGTCCCTGCTCTTTGGACCCCCCTTTGGGGGGGTCCCTGTTCCTTTAGAGGGGTCCCTATCCCAAGGGGGGTCCCTGTACCTGGGAGTTCCCGTTCCTTTGGGGGGGGCTCCCTATCTCAGGAGGGGGTCTCTGTCCCTTTGGGAGTCCCTGCCCCTGGGGTCCCTGCTGCTTTGGGGGGGGTCGCTACCCCATGAGGGGGTCCATGTCCCTTTGGGGGGGGTCTGGTCCCTTTGGGGGTTCCCTGCCCCATGAGGGGGTCCCTGTCCCTTTGGGGGGGGATCTGGTCCCTTTGGGGGTTCCCTGCCCCATGGGGGTGTCCCTGTCCCTTTGGGGGGGATCCGTGTCCCTTTGGGGGGGTTCCCTGCCCCATGGGGGGGTCCCTGTCCCTTTGGGGGGGGTCTGGTCCCTTTGGGGGTTCCCTGCCCCATGGGGGGGATCCGTGTCCCTTTGGGGGGGTTCCCTGCCCCATGGGGGGGGTCCCTGTCCCTTTGGGGGTTCCTTGACCCATGAGGGGGTCCCTGTCCCTTTGGGGGTTCCCTGCCCCATGAGGGGATCTGTGTCCCTTTGGGGGGGGTCTGGTCCCTTTGGGGGTTCCCTGCCCCATGGGGGGGATCCGTGTCCCTTTGGGGGGGTTCCCGGCCCCATGGGGGGGGTCCCTGTCCCTTTGAGGGGTCACTGCCCCATGAGGGGGTCCCTGTCCCTTTGGGGGGGTTCCCTGCCCCATGGGGGGGATCTGTGTCCCTTTGGGGGGGTTCCCTGCCCCATGGGGGGGTTCCTGTCCCTTTGGGGGGCTCCCTGTGCCCTGCGGTGGCCGTGGGTGCCCCAGCGAGCGCTCGTGCGCAGGAGCTGGTGGTGCAGAAGGGCTGGCGCCTGCCCGAGTACACGGTGACGCAGGAGTCGGGGCCCGCGCACCGCAAGGAGTTCACCATGACCTGCCGCGTGGAGCGCTTCCTGGAGCTGGGTGCGCGCGGACCCGCGGCACCCACGGGGCGCCCTGGGGGTGCCTGGGACATGCGGGACACCCGGGACAACCCGGGGATGCCAGGGACCCCCCCCCCGGGACATACATGGGACACCCACAGGACACCCAAGACACCTGGGACACCCACGGGGCACACACAGGACACCCACAGGACACCCAAGACACCTCCCGGGACACCCATGGGACACCCTGGGGATGCCTGGGACACTTGGGATACCCATGGGACCCCCAGGACCACAGGACCCCCTGGACACTCAGAACACCTGGGACACTTGAGACACCTCCCGGGACACCCATGGGACACTTGGGATACCCCCGGCGACATCCACAGGAGGCCTGGGACACCTGGAACATCCCCACAACATTCCTGGGATGCTCCTGGGACTCCCTGGGACACCCAGGGGACCCCTGGGACACCCAGGGGACACCTGGGACCCACTTGGGACACCCCTGGGACCTCCAGGACACCCCCTGGGACACCCCCTGGGACACCCTGGGACACCCACGGGATCCCTGGGACCTCCAGGACACCCCCGGGACCCCTGGGACCCCCCTGGGACACCCAGGGCACTCCTGGGGCCCCCGGGACCCCCGTGGGACCCCCGTGTCGCCCGCGGTGACGGCGCTGCCGCGGCGCAGGCAGCGGCACGTCCAAGAAGCTGGCGAAGCGCAACGCGGCCGCGCGCATGCTGCTGCGCGTGCACAGCGTGCCCGGCGAGCCGCGCGACGGCAGCGAGGCCGAGGGCGACGACGAGCACTGCTCCATGGTGCGCGCGGCGCCACCGGCACGGGGACACGGGCACCCCAGGGAGGGGACACAGGATGGAGACGCTGGGGACGGGGACCCTGGGATGGAGACAGCAGGGTGGGGACGCGGGGATGGGCACCCTGGGCATGGGAGACGGAGATGGGGATGCTGCCATAGGGACAGGGACACCACCATGGGGACGCTGGGGATGGGGACATGGGAATGGAGATGGGGACCCTGGGGATGGGAAGGTGGGGACGGGGTGATGGAGATGGGGACACCACCGTGGGGATGCTGGGGATGGGGACATGGGGATGGGGACACAGGGACACGGGGAAGGGGACACGGGGATGGGCACCCTGGGGACAGGGACATAGGGATGGAGAGACGGAGATGGCGACACTGCCATGGGGACNGATGGGCACCCTGGGGACAGGGACATAGGGATGGAGAGACGGAGATGGCGACACTGCCATGGGGACAGGGACACCACCATGGGGACACTGGGGATCGGGATAAGGATGGGGGAATGCAGGGACACCAACACAGGGACACGGGGACACAGGGATGGGGACTCTGGGGATGGGAACATGGGGATGGGGAGACAGAGATGGGGACACCACCATGGGGACAGGGACACCGCCACAGGGATGCTGGGGATGGGGATACCACAACAGGGACACCAGGGGTGGGGACACCACCAAGGGGACATGGGGACACGGGGATGGGGGCCGGAAGGACCGGGATGGAGATACTGCAATGGGGACATGAGCACAGGGACATGGGGACAGGGACACCAGGGATGAGGACACAGGGATGGGGACCCTGGGAACAGAGACACGGAGATGGATACACTGGGACGGGGACACTGGGACAGGAACACCAGGACAGGAACACTGGGAATGGGGACACTGGGACAGGGACATGGGGACGGGGACACTGCGGATGGGGCACCCTGGGGACAGGGACACCCCTTGGGAGAGGGACCCCTCCCAAAGTCATCCCTAGGTGGGGACGGGCACCCTGAGGGGTTCCCTGTCGGGGGACACGGGCCCCTGTGTCCCCATGTCCCTGTGTCCCCGTGTCCCCATGTCCTCGTGTCCCCAGGCCGGTCCCCGCCTGGAGGGGCTGCGCGGGCGGGCGCCGTGTCCCCGTGTCCCCATGTCCCCATGTCCCCGTGTCCCCAGGCCGGTCCCCGCCTGGAGGGGCTGCGCGGGCGGGCGCCGTGTCCCCGTGTCCCCATGTCCCCGTGTCCCCGTGTCCCCAGGCCGGTCCCCGCCTGGAGGGGCTGCGCGGGCGGGCGCCGTGTCCCCGTGTCCCCATGTCCCCGTGTCCCCGTGTCCCCAGGCCGGTCCCCGCCTGGAGGGGCTGCGCGGGCGGGCGCCCGGCTGCACCTGGGACTCGCTCCGCAACTCGGCGGGCGAGAAGATGGCCCAGCTGCGCAGCCACCCCCTGGCACCCGTGGGCGCCGGCGCCTGCGCCCTCCTGCAGGAGCTCTCCGAGGAGCAGAGCTTCCGCATCAGCTACCTGGACCTGGGTGAGCGCAGGGGCGCGAGGACAGTGCCGCGGGGACGGTGACACGGCGCTGGTGCCGGTGTCACGGTGACAGTACCACGGTGCTGGTGTCACGGCGCCAGTGTCAGTGTCACGGCGCCGGTGCCGCGGTGCAGGTGCCAGTGTCACGGTGACAGTACCACGGTGCTGGTGTCACGGCGCCGGTGCCAGTGCCGCGGTGCCGGTGACATGGCGCCGGTGCCAGTGTCACGGTGCCGGTGCCGCGGTGCTGGTGTCACGGCGCCAGTGTCAGTGTCGCGGTGCCGGTGCCGCGGTGCGGGTGCCAGTGTCACGGTGCCGGTGCCGCGGTGCCGGTGACACGGCGCCGGTGCCGGTGTCACGGTGCCAGTGCCACGGTGCTGGTGTCACGGCGCCGGTGCCAGTGTCCCGGTGCCGGTGCCGCGGTGCGGGTGCCAGTGTCACGGTGCCGGTGCCGCGGTGCTGGTGTCACGGCGCCAGTGTCAGTGTCACGGTGCCAGTGCCGCGGTGCTGGTGTCACGGTGCCGGTGCCCGTGTCCCGGTGCCGGTGCCGCGGTGCGGGTGCCAGTGTCGCGGTGCCGGTGTCACGGTGCCGGTGCCAGTGTCACGGTGCTGGTGCCGCGGCGCCGCTGCCGCTGTCCCCGCAGACGCGGTGAGCCTCAGCGGGCTGCACCAGTGCCTGGTGGAGCTGTCCACGCAGCCGGCCACCGTGTGCCACGGGGCCGCCCCGTCGCGCGACGCCGCCCGCGGCCAGGCCGCCCGCAACGCCCTGCAGTACCTGCGCGTCATGGCCGGCGGCAAGTGACACCCGGGGACGCCCACAGGTGACTGGGGACCTCCACGGGGGGCTGGGGACGCCCATGGGTGACCTGAGACACCCGGGGGACCAGGGATACCCGGGAGTGACCTGAGACACCCAGGGGGGCTGTGGACACCCAAGGGAGACCGGGGGTGCCCACGGGGGACCTGAGACACCCATGGGGACCCACCGTGGACCACCAGGGACACGTGCAGGAGACACCCATGGTCCCCGAGGGACACCCAGGGGTGACCTGAGACACCCAGGGGAGCTGTGGACACCCGAGGGTGACCTGGGACACCCTGGGAGGCTGGGGACACCCACAGGGCACTAGGGACACCCACAGGTGACCTGAGACACCCCTGGGGCACAGGGGACCCCTGCGGGGATCTGAGACACCCACAAGCGACCGGAGACACCCACAGATGATTGGAGACACCCGCAAATGACCAGAGACGTCCATAGGTGCCCCAAGACACCCATGGGTGACCAGAGACACCCCACGAGCATCTGGAGACACCCACAGGCGACCAGAGACATTTACAGACACCTGGAGATGTCCCCGGGTGCCCCAAGACACCCTCGAGTGACCGGAGACACCCGCGAGCATCTGGCGACACCCACGGGTGTCCAGAGATGCCCATGGACACCCAGAGACACCCCCAGGTGTCCAGAGACACCCAGGGACAGACCCCTCGTTATCAGATGGACTCACGGACACCCTGTTTTGATATCCCCACGGACACATGATGTCACCCATGGGTGCCTGGATGGACACCCAAACCCACAGACACCCGAACCCACCGAACCTGGGTGTCCCACCCAGACACCCGGAGTCACCAGCCTGGGCGCTGACACCTGGACGAGGCTGACACCCAAACCCACCCACAGACCCCCGGACACCAGGGTGGACCCCGACACCAGGGGACACCCAGACAGACCCCTGGACAGCCCAGAGCACCGGACACACTCGGACACTCAGACCAACACCTGAACCGAGCCAAGGACACCCAGACCCACACAGCCGACAGTGACGCTGACACCCGCCCGCACACTCGGACTCTTGGACATACAGACAGACGCACCCACTGACAGACAGCCGGCACAACCATGGACACCCAGACGGGCCCCCGGGCGTCTCCATGGGCTCCCGGACCCCTGGACAGACCCCGGACGGATCCGGGACCCCCGGAGGGACCTCGGTACCACCCAAGATCCCCCCTCCGGGGTCTCTGGGTGCTGACCTGGGAATAAAACACCCAGTGGGGGTTTTAATCTACCCGTGTTGGTGTCTCTTGGTTGGGGGGGAAGTTATGGGGCTGGGGTTGTCAGAGGGGGCACTTATGGGGATAGAGGAGGCAGTTATGGGGCTGAGGGGCAGTTATGGGGCCGGGGGGGGGCTCTGAGGGCAGCACTGGGGCCGTTTCCCCACCCTGGTCCCATGGGGGGAGGCAAAAACCAGCCCGAGCTCTGGGGCGTCAGCGGCGCCGCTTTATTGGGGACGGAGGGACCGTGGGAGCCCCAGGCGCCGCCCCGGCTGCCCGGTGTGGATGGAGACACCCGGGAGGCTCCGGAGAGACGCGGGAGGCTCCGTGCGGGAGCGGCGGCCCCGGTCCCGGGCGTCGCGGCCCTGCTCAGCGGCGGCGCCCGAAGCGCTGCGGCGTCGCCATCGTCCAGAACGGGGCGGCCGGCGGGTCCCAGCTGCGCGCGCTGAGCCGGGCCAGGGCGGCCGCGCGGCCGGACCTGCCGACACCGGGCGGACACGGAGCTCACGGACCGGGCGGACACAGAGTTCATGGATGGGGCAGACGCGGAGCTCACGGATGGGGCGGGGACGGGGTGGACATGGAGCCCATGGACGGGACGGACACGGAGCTCATGGGTGGGGATGGATGGACAGGGATGGATGGACAGGGATGGACCGGGGGATGTGGTTGGACAGAGACTCGGATGGATGGTCAGGGACAGACGGATGGGACAGGCAGGCACAGACGGACAGTCGGACGGGGACGGACGAGCACAGACGTGGACGGACACAGAGGCAGGACGGGCTGCGCGGCCACCGGGTGCAGGTGTGGGGGGTCCCTCCCGGCCCGCTGGCCGTGCCCGGACGGGGCGCGCGGACCCCGCTCACCTCTGCGGCTGCAGGACGAAGGCCGGGCTGCGGCGGGGGCGCCGCAGGGCGCGG